AACCACAGCCAGACCCATTATCTACACACATGGCAAAAACATGAAACTGTGGAGAACTCTTGCAGAAGTAGCCGGCCGACCAAAATTACCCCAAAAGCCCAGCTAAAACTAATCTAATAGGTCTCAAAAGAGCCCACAACAACATCCAAACAACCATTGCGCAATAAATTAATCTGCAAATGCATTATTTACAACATTACTCCAACATAATTATCCAAATCACACCAACACGGGTCTACTCACCAACTGAAATAACCTCTCTTTTCCCCTTTTCTCAGCAGCGTGTCAGATTTCCAAACAGAAAAACTTGTTTTGTTGTTCCCCTATGTCTAGTGACACACTTAACACCAGCTCAGCCCGTGACCTGTTTAGCTCTCAGCAAAAGAGAGGCCTTTAACTGTCACTGTCACCCCACACCGTCTGTTTAGAGGACACGTGATGTCCAGCATGCCAAGATTATCAAACTCTGAGCCACTGCCGTTCTTGAGGAGCTGCAGTAACAAACCCTCATTACCTATAGGAAGGAAAAACAGTTAAAAATGCACTTCCAGAAAAATACCCACACCGTTAAAAATGCAGGGTTCCACGCAATCCTTTTTTGCCATCCCAACGAAAATTGATTAAGTTAACTTAATGTTTTTTTTGCAATTTTAAGTTGAGTGAACATAAAACAATTAAGCTGTCCCCCCAAAAAACTCAAGAATTGTGTGGTTTCAGCTCATTTTAAATAAGTAGTTAGAACAAGCAGCCATAATATTTTCTGAGTGCATTATACTATAGGACTTTAAGACTTTTCTCATAAAAAAATAAATGAACATTGATTATACTGTTGGGGGTGTGTGTGGGTAAATTACGGTTGGGCTTTTCTACATACATTGTCAAGCCTTTGGTGTGTAACTGGGTTAAATTGTTAGGCTGTCTTTGCTGTGTCAGGTTACAGGTGTGTCAAGGCTACGAGACAAACAGGACATAGAATTGCATTGTGTGAATGCCTTATTCCTTATTTATAGGTGAAGCTGTTAAGTTAAGGTCAAGTGGACGATTCATCAAGGTTATGAACTGTAGTCACGCTTTGTGTTGTGTTTTGAGTTGTCATTGTGGATTAGGCATGAATAATTTGACAAGGTTATCAAATAAGCAGGACGGTGTGGTAATAAACATTAAGTTGGTGTGCAGATTTGCAATTGGATGCCCTTGTTTTAAAATAAAGGCCTACAGCTAGTGGTTATAAAAGATGAGGTCTCCATGCACCTTTTGACATTTTCTGACAATGAACAAAATGAAATTTCATTCGGAGTGACATTTATATGCAATTTTGAGTCTTCTGGTGGTTCTTTAATGTCAGTGATTAACTGTTGTGTTTTATTAATTATATTTTCTGTTTCTGACGTTATTTTTTTTCTCAGGTTTTTGGAAATTTGATTGTGGTTTTGTTAGTACAATAATGTTTTAAATCATTAAAATTTGCGCTAAGTATGTCTTTTTTTGTTGTATTATAGTTTAAATATTTATTCATTCATTTTATTTTCGACTTAGTGCCTTAATTAATCAGGGGCCGCCACAGCGGAATGAACCGCCAACTTGTCCAGCATACATTTGAAGTCAGAATTAATTGCCCTCCTAAATTATTAGCCCCCCTCCCCCCCGTTTATTTTTTTCCCCTAATTTCTGTTTAACGAGGAGAAGATTTTTTTAACACATTTCTAAGCATAAAAGTTTTAATAACTCATTTCTAATAACTGATTTATTTTATCTTTGCCATAATTACAGTAAATAATATTTTACTAAATATTTTTTAAGACACTTCTATACAGCTTAAATGTATATGTAAAGACTTAACTAGGGTAATTAGGTTAACAAGGCAGGTTAGAATAATTAGGCAAGTTATTGTATAACGATGGTTTGTTCTGTAGACAATCGGAAAAACAATAGCTCAAAGGGGCTAATAATTTTGTCCCTAAAATGTTTTTTAAAAACTGCTTTTATTCTAGCTGAAATAAAACAAATAAGACTTTCTCTAGCAGAAACACATTTTCTTGCTCTGTTAAACATTATTTGGGAAATTAAAAAAAAAAAAAATTCAAAAGAGGGATTATAGTTCTGTCAACAACTGTATATTTTACGCAGCGGATGCCCTTCCAGCCACAACCCAACACTGGGAAAATACACTATGGCCAATTTAGTTTATTTAATTTACCTACAGCGCATGTCTTTGAACTGTGGGGAAACCGGAGCACCCAAAGGAAACCCACGCCAACATGGAGAGAACATGCAAACTCCACACAGAAATGCCAATCTACCTAGCCGGGGCTCGAACCAGCAACCTTCTTGCTGTGAGGCGATCATGTTACCCACTGCGCTATGTGATGCCCTAGTTTTAAATATTTAAGTATTTAAATATTTCTTTTATTTAAATGATTAGGCCTATAAATAGGCTGATTTAGTTGAACTACTGTAGCTGAAATAATTCGTTTACATATTTTTATTTTTCAGTTAACACCCATCTCATAATACAATTGACAACTTAATGAATGTAAAAGGTCACATATTTTACCCCTTTTTTAAGATTTAGAAGTCTTTTGTGTCTCTAGAGTGTGTCTGTAAAATTTCAGCTCAAAACACCCATCAGAATATTTATTATACAGTTCAGAATGTTGGAGTTTTCCGCTCTGAACACAATGTTGCTATTTTTGTTGCCTGTGCATTTAATGCTAGTTCTCCCCACCTACTGTTCCCATGTGCCTGTTAGACTTTGCCTTGTTCTCCGCCTCAGCAGGGTCAGATAAACAGCACAGTGACAGATATGAAGGAAGCAGACCTTACGTAACATTTGTGATGAATACTACAGTAAGAACTTTCCCAATGATTATTTGATATATTTGTTGTGGAGTTAATTCAAGCCTTTCTACAATGAGTCACACAATGTCGTTACAAAGTTCACGTAGACACAGAGACACACAGCACGCGCATTTAGCTTTGCACTGTTTTTGCATGGCAAATGTGACAGGATACATGTTAATATCCACTGCTGTATGGGTATATGTTATGTTAATGTACAAAAAACGGGATTGAAGCTTTTATAATTGTACTGACGTGGCTGTGGTGATAAAGTAAAGACGGTAAAGTCACTGTAATTAATTAACTTGCTTTGCTTTAAAAGCGTTTTAAACTTGTAAAGCTCATTATTGATCACATTTGAGAATGATTGATGAACCTAGCAAACTGAACAGATCTTTTATTCCCAGTGGTTTTGCGCACGTCCTGTCTTGTTGACATGATTAAATGCGTTACTACAGAGACATGTTAACATGTGGTTGTCTATCAATTCGGTGGGCGGGGAAACAGCACTCCTACTTACTCCACCTTTCTGGTATAGGGTGAGCGCACTAGTGCCATTGTAATATGGCTGCCGTCGTATCATCCAAGTGGATGCTGCACAATGGTGGTGGTGTGGAGAGACATCCCTCATGATTGTGAAGCGCTTTGGGTGTATGGCCTTACACAATAAATACGCTATATAAATACACATTACATTACATTACGTTGCGCTCGGCCACAAAATAGGAGGGATTTGGATCCTATTTTAACCTCAGGAAATTTTTAAAAAGAGGCTTATTGTGTTTATATCACCCCAGTATGACTATGTACACACTATACCTACACACAGTTCTGTCCAAACAGCTTACAAAAGATGATTTTCATCATAGGTGCCATTTAATGTCTATTTCAGGTAAAAATAACATATTAGTGTGTTAGTTTTTGTTGATTAGAAACACATATAATATTTATAAAACATTATTATTTATTATTATTACTATCATTTTATAGTTATGATTTAATTAATTATAGTTTCATTTATTTACTAAGACTGCTCTTTTTGAAAGATTAAAAAGAAAAGTGTGTCAGAAATGGTGTCTGAGGTTATGTTTACAGTATCTTGGCTAATTATAGAGCTTATCAAAAGCTCAGCTATCTGCTTGAGCATACAGTAGAGGTATGATAGTAATCAATTAAGCAATTTATGTCAAGAATGTAATCAAGGTGTTCTTAAGGGATATAAACGTACACTCATCATAAGACTACAGGCTTTGGCAGTGAAGCACTTTACCTCTCACCTCAAAGTTTAATTTTGTTTCTGCACCTTGTTTCCTCCACTCTTCTTTGAGATTCATAACAGCTGTGATCCCGATGAAGAGCTCAAACTCCACCATCTGTCATGAAGCAAGATGAACACACTTGATAACAGCTTGCAAGGGTTTCTTTTACTATTCAAAGAGCATTTGGTGGCACTGAAAATAATATTTGTGAAAGGAGGTATTGAGGTGTTTTAGCTAGGCATGTGCTTGAAAGGTTTTTGGGCTGCATATTAAAAATGGTTTAAGCAACATAATCTTTCTATACCTGTTTGTCTTGTTGGTGCATCAGACAGGAAATGTGGCATCATATTGCACATCCAGTAACAAAAAAAACATGCAAATCCTAAAAACATGGGACTTTCGGGCTGGGTCTTGTTGGGGGCAAGACGTTTCAGATAACACCGCCCCCCCCAAAAAAAAATTCAGATAATTTACCCAAAACGAATCATTTTGTCATCACTCAACCTCTACATGTCACTAACCTGTTTGAGTTTTGTCTACTGTTTAACACAAAAACAAATAATTACAAAACTAAATAAAAACCAGTAACCACTGATTTGTTTTGTTTTTTTATACAAAGGTTACCAGAAACCTCTCTTTCTTCAAAATATCTTTTAATGTATTCAACAGAAGAAAGAAACTCATAAAAGTTTGGAAAAACTCAAGACTGAGTTAATAGTAAAAAAAGAATACATTTTCATTTAAGGGTGTTCTGTCACTTAAAGACTAACATATTGATGTTAACACCAGTCAAATCAAATATGTGACATTGATTTTTTAAAATGTATATATGGCCTAAATACATTGTGGTAATTAACAGATTATAAACAAAATGTAATGTCATCCATTTAAATGGGGTCAGTATAGTTTAAAAATAGTTTATTGCACATTTTTGCATATGTACACTGAAAGATACGTACGAAACATATCAACATCATAACGCACACCACACTCTTGCTAACATACAAAAACATGTTAACATTTAATGGACTCATGATTATGAGAATGATACAACTGTCATTTAATCAGGAGCCCATTAAAATAGTAACTATTTTGACCAACGTGTGTAAAAGCTTTACATCTTTCTATTTAGTTGCAAATAAGTGTTAGCCTATTATACTTACTACAAAAGTACTTCTTTACATTATAGTGTTCAGTGTCTTACTGATAACCTCAAACATATGAATGTGCTATAGACTAAACATATACTGTAATACACACCCATGCCATCACATTTATTACAAAATCAAATTGTTGTGACACAATTTTTGCTCATTGCAGTTTTAATACCCGAAATTTTTAATTATTGTTGAATCCAATTATTATTTACAAAAAATCTTAAAGTGCAAGTACAGTACATTTGTTTATGCAAGTAAAAATACATAGCCAGCACTTGATTTATATCAAATTGTGTGCCTCTTTTGACATTTTATACAGTATGTATACTATATACATTTAATATGTTATTTACATTTACACGCATGAATTAAAATAATTAGCTATGCAAATTGAAAATAGTAAACGTTTCATTTTCAAATTTGATTTTAAACATTTAATTCATCGTTTAAATTTGTTATAACTAACTGTATGTCTGTACCAAAAGAATTCAAGACAACATGTTTTGTAAATATTGAAAAATGGCACAGAATTTTATGACAGGATTCCCTCAAATGATTCTCGTTCATAAATCAAGAACTTGTTTAGTCTTGCTGGTAGAGGAAGAGTGTGGATTTGCTGCAGTCTGTGGACTCCGAGTTGTTGGCGAACCTTTATTCTGCACAGATTCATCAATGTGCATGGAAGAACTGAAACAGAGAAGCGTCAGTTTTTATTTTTAATTCCGTTAATTAAAAAAAAAATATTTAGACAATATTGTCAGTAATATGACAAATTCTGCAAAAACATTATCGCTGCCTTAATTTATTTAGTTGAGTCAAATGAACTTTTCTAGTCATCTCAACTTCCATATTACATAAATATTAAGATACTAAAAATGGTGTAGTTGAAACCGGACTAACTTGTTATTTATTATTACACTTTTTACAGTGTGAAAATGAAAAGAATAGAAGAAGAATTACAAAGAATGTTCTCACCTGCTTTTTCTTTTACATGAGCCCAGTCTTTGTTGTTGTCTAGGTGTTCGGTTAATCTAGAGCAGAGTTTAACGTGACCCACGTAGTTAAGTAAAGTGTCAATAATGGGTCCAACCAAACCACTGACTGAGGGAGCAGAGATTATCTCACAAAACTGTGAAAAAAAAAGAAAAAAAGTACTTCATTTTGTTGTAAAAGAAATGTACAAAATAACAGTTGTACAGTTAGGTCCATAAATATTTGGACATTGACACAGTTCTAAAAATTTTTTTGGCTCTGTATAAAACACAAATGGATTTGAAATTAAATGAAGATGTGCTTTAACTGCTTTGATTTGAGGCTATTTACATCCAAATAAGGTGAACGCTGTAGGAATTACAACAGTTTGCATATGTGCCTCCCACTTGTTAAGGGTTCAAAAGTAATTGGACAATCGGCTTCTCAGCTGTTCCATGGCAAGGTGTGTTATTCTCTCATTATTCCAATTACAATGAGCAGATAAAAGGTGTAATGCATATTTACTACTGCATATATTTGATTTTATTGGATATATCCAATACATATTTTATTGGATGGATATTTAAGGTTAAAGCAAATGTTTTTCATTTTTTAAAGGAAAAATTTATCAAAAATTACATTTTCTGTCCTAATTCACCCATATTTTCTATATGTTTGTTATATTAAAATTCTTTGTAAAAAATGCCATAAAAATAAGGGATAATATAGTGTTCGTGTAAAGCTTATTATTATTTTATTAAAATAAATAGTAATTTAAAGGGATAATTTACCACCAAATATATTTTCCGTCATCATTTTCTCATCCTCCACTTGTTACAAATCTGTATGAGTTTTTTCTTCTGTTAAACACAAACAGCAGCTACTTTGAAAAATATTGGTAACCAAATAGTTAGCCAAAGATTTCCATACTACTATTTTTTTACTGTGGAATTGACGGGCTGTTTTTCACTCTCTCGTTTTTCAAAATATCTAAGCAGAGAAAAGACTCATGCGACTTTGTAACAACTTGAAAGTGTCTTCAGTAGTGTGTTTTTCTTGTTGTCTGTTTCTATCACCTTTCTTTCTCAGTAAGCTGTTCTTTGCAAGCAAGCAACATTGTAACCAGTCCAAAAACAATATAAAGTGTATGTCTGATCTGTTCAGTACAGTACTTTGTACAGATGGTTACAAAAATCAAGATGAATGATGAAATCTGAGTTAAGTGTACGTTACTGAACATTAGCACACTGTATGTGTAAATAGTTATGGTGTAGTTTTAAACACAGTGTTATCATTTTATTTAAAAATATACCTGTACACAGTAGTCTGATGGATCTTCATTTAATAAGTACATTGTTTCTCTTCCAGTTGATCTTGGTTTTAAAGGGGGATGAGGATTACTTCCATACTGACATTTAAAACATGCCAGTGCATCACAGCCATTGTCCAGAAGATACTTCATCATCATAATGTACCTCATGCAGAAAACCAGAGCTGCTGGGAAGCTGGTGGGATGAGTGGGCAGCATGGCATTAACATTGGCACCGTACTTCACCAACAGGGTCACCATTTCTATATTTCCTTTCCTCACAGCCACAAGCAGAGGGTTGAATATGTCCAGGTTTGGGTCAGCACCAGCTTCTAAAAGCATAATGGCGGCCTCAATGTTTCTGTTCACCACAGCCGAGTATAAAGCTGTGCTGCGGCGATCCTCATGCAGTTTTGACCAGTCGTCTGAGAGCATGGCATTGACATCATATCCAGCCTCAATCAGTATTTCTAGAACGTCATCTCTGTTACGCTCAGCTGCGAAATGAAGGGGACTGATGCCGGAGCGTCTCACTTTGGTTGTGCTGGTTTTAGGAATTAACATGGCGACAATGCTGAAGAACATTTAAAAAAAGAGACATATTTATTTCTTCAGCAATAATCAGATCCTTGAGATTATGAAGAAAGACTAAAAAAACTTCTGAATAAGGATATCTACATGAAAAGTAGGTGGTATCTAAAAGATTGGTTATTTCTTGACTGTTTAACTCAAACACACACACACTTAAAAAGACATTAGGAGAATTACTTCTGGAACCAGCACTCCTGGAAAATTGAACAGGCCCTAATGTACTCTATGGACCACTTAATGATGGGATTGACCAGATTATAAGAATAATTTACCCAATAATAAAAATTTGGCCATCATTCACTCATCATAAACTGGTTTTAGACCAGTTTGTGTATTCTTTCTTCTCTTGAAAAACAGGTCACAAAAGTGAAGTACACTAAGGAATATCAAAAAAAGCCATTGACGTCTTCCATCGTATTTTTGCGTCTCTTTTTCTCCAACATTCTTCAGAATATCTTGCTTTTTGTGCAACAGAAGAAATTCATTTGTAAAAGTTTATAACAGGGGTGCCCAAACTTTTGCCTTTAAAGGGCCAAAAAGCAAACTTGATTGAGGGCTGTGCCAAACCCGTATATATAATATTTTCCATGGGTAATTTCCTAATTAATTCGCTAATATTTAAAAATAATTACACTGTAAAACCTAAAAAGTTAAGGCAATTCAAACTATTTGAGGAAACAGATTGCAACAAACCATTTAAGCTTTAAAAAAAATCCTAATGAGTACTGTGAACTTAATACATTTGAGTAAATAAAGCAGTTTGAGCACAGTAAAACCCAATAAATTAAGAGAACCCAAACCAACTGAGTACTGTAAAACCCAACAAGTTAAGGCAACTCAAACCATTTTAGGAAATCGACTGCTGTACACCATTTAAGTTCAAAAACTAATCTATATGAGTACTGTGAACTTACGCCATTTAAGTTGAAGTAATGAAGTATTTAACTAACATATTACTTTCAACTCTTCAAATGAGTAGAATTAACTTGCAGTCAATTTTGACTTAACTACACTCATTTAATTTGTTAAAGTTGACAGTTGGTTCTTACAGTGTAGAAAACATTTCACTGCACTAACCTCTCATGGCCATTCTTTGATGCGATGTGAATAGGAAGCAATCCAGATTTGTTGGCTTTGTTAGCATCGGCTCTTTTTGACAGGAGGATCTTGACAACTTGAACATGACCATTCTTGGAGGCCTCAAACAAGGCTGTTGCATCATCATTAGCCTTGGAATTGATATTACCTCCTAAACAACAGGTAACTGGGTTAATGATGCTAGATTAGAGTTGATAATTACACTTAGGCATGCCATATGAAAAAAAAATAGTACCTTTATGTATAAGGTAGTTTAGCACATCGACAGCGTTACACTGAGCAGCTGTAAACAAAGAGTCAATCCCATAAACATTTTGGGCCCACAGCTTTGCCCCTGCGTGTATCAACATCTTACAACTCTCCAACATTTTGTTCCTCACTGCTTCATGTAGTGGAGTTAAACCTTGAACGCAGGCTTTGGTTGGTGTAGCTCCATATCTCAATAGAAGTTCCACTATCTCTTCATTACCTTTCTCACATGCTGTAAAAGAAAATCATTATTCATATTTTCAAACGCTTTCTGGTCATTTGCGCATGTTTACATGGACAATAATAAGCCAATTTTAATACGATTAAGACAATACTCTAAAGCAGAACTAAACAGAAATTGATTTAAGACGTAGAGTATGCCAGTTTTAGTCACATTATTGAAGTGTAGTACAGACATGTAAACAATGCAATCAAACTATTACTGTCGTGTAGGATTTTTAGTAAAGGATCACTGTCACCTGCATCACGAAATGCAGAGGTTTTTTTCCTGCGATATAAAGTTCCATTAAAACAACACTCTTCCTAAAATTCATACTCATACTATATCTTGTTTGTAATGGGGGCATGCATGAAATGTTTCTGAATGAAAGTGAAAGTGCCAAACTGCAGCTAAAGTCGACAAATTAAAAACGAAACACGCAAAATTACATGAAATTCCGGAGGATATGTGGATAGCCTGGTGACGTAATGACTTTAATTATGAGCTATACAGTAACATGTAAAACTGGATCATGATGGGAACATTCAAAAAACAACAAGCGTTAACACCTTAATTATATTATTGTCTTACTCAGATTATAGCAAATAATTTGATTACTGATGTCCTTGTAAACATAGTCACTATTGTACCTTTGTACAATGGGGTCTCCCACTGGTTATTCGCAATGTTTGGATCAGCTCCTTGCTCCAAAAGGTGCTCGACACAAGCAACATGCTTGCGACCCACAGCCAGAATGAGCGGGGTCTGATTTCTGTGTGTTCTTTTGTTGATTGTATCTGGTTTGGCTGTGAGGAAAGACGAGATGGTTTGAGTGTTTGACTCTGAGCTGGACACAAATGATTAATTTCTTACCTTTGAGCAAAACCTTAAGGCACTCCACATGGCCGTTGCAGGCACATTCATGAAGCGGTAACCAGCCATCTTTATTGGGCTCTTCGAGATATTTAGATTTGCTATGAACGAGGTCTTGTAAAGTCTTTGCATCTCCCTTCCAAATAGCTGAGAGAAAGGGGTCCAAATCACTGAAAAGAAGAACAAATATGCAAACCAATCTTAAGAATAGCACTTATATCAGAGGATTTTGATTAAGCATTTTATTTGATTTTAACTCAAAATATGCAGTAGTTGTTGCCTCACAGCAAGAAGGTCGCTGGTTCGAGCCTCGGCTGGGTCAGTTGGCGTTTCTGTGTAGAGTTTGCATGTTCTCTCTGCAATCGCGTTGGTTTCTTCCGGGTGCTCCGGTTTCTCCAACAGTCCAAAGACATGTGGTACAGGTGAATTGGGTAGGCTAAATTGTCCATATGTATGTATGTGTGCGAATGAGTGTGTATGGTTCTCCCAGAGATGGGTTGCAGCTGGAAGGGCATCTGCTGCGTAAAACATATGCTGGATAAGTTTGTGATTCATTCCGCTGTGGCGATCCCAGATCAATAAAGGGACTTAGCCGAAAAGAAAATGAATGAATGAAAGATGAGTTATGAGTGATTTGTTTTTTATTCAAGCCATTTGGAGTCAGATAAGTCTCAAAAATAATGTATTTACAAAATAAATTCATGGATGCACAGCACAATTCACATTTACAAAATCCAATTTGTAAATTCAAAACACAATTTATAAATACAACACACAATTCGTGAATTCACGAGTAAAAGTCCTAAATATTTTTGCCAAATGAATTGGATTTGCATATTTTTGAATTGCGATTTGAACTTCTTATTTGGAATTGTGTATTTACGAATCGTGTTTACAATTTACGAATTGGATTTGTGTATTTACAAATCGCATTTAGAATTTACGAATTTTATTTGTGTATTTACGTATCGTGTTTAGAATTTACGAATTGGATTTGTGTATTTACAAATCGTGTTTAGAATTTACGAATTGGATTTGTGTATTTACGAATCGTGTTTAGAATTTATGAATTGGATTTGTGTATTCACGAATCGTGTTGAGAATTTACGAATTGGATTTGTGTATTTTCGAATCGTGTTTAGAATTTACGAATTGGATTTGTGTATTTACGAATCGTGTTTAGAATTTACAAATTGGATTTGTGCATTTACGAAACAAGTTTAGAATTTATGAATTGGATTTGTGTATTTACAAATCGTATTTAGAATTTACGAATTGGATTTGTGTATTTACGAATCGCGTTTAGAATTTACAAATTGGATTTGTCTATTTACGAATCGCGTTTAGAATTTACAAATTGGATTTGTGTATTTACGAATCGTGTTTAGAATTTACGAATTGGATTTGTGTATTTACGAATCAAATTTAGAATTTACGAATTGGATTTGTGCATTTACGAATCAAGTTTAGAATTTACGAATTGGATTTGTGTATTTACGAATCAAGTTTAGAATTTACGAATTGGATTTGTGTATTTACGTATCGTGTTTAGAATTTAAGAATTGGATTTGTGTATTTACAAATCGTGTTTAGAATTTACGAATTGGATTTGTGTATTTACGAATCGTGTTGAGAATTTACGAATTGGATTTGTGTATTTTCGAATCGTGTTTAGAATTTACGAATTGGATTTGTGTATTTACGAATCGTGTTTAGAATTTACAAATTGGATTTGTGCATTTACGAAACAAGTTTAGAATTTATGAATTGGATTTGTGTATTTACAAATCGTATTAAGAATTTACGAATTGGATTTGTGTATTTACGAATCGCGTTTAGAATTTACAAATTGGATTTGTCTATTTACGAATCGCGTTTAGAATTTACAAATTGGATTTGTGTATTTACGAATCGTGTTTAGAATTTACGAATTGGATTTGTGTATTTACGAATCAAATTTAGAATTTACGAATTGGATTTGTGCATTTACGAATCAAGTTTAGAATTTACAAATTGGATTTGTGTATTTACGAATCAAGTTTAGAATTTACGAATTGGATTTGTGTATTTACGAATTGTGTTGTAAACTTACATACTGGATTTTGTAAATGTGAATTGTGCTGTGCATATATGAATTTTATTTTGTAAATGTATTATTTTTGAGACTGATCTGGCTTCTGTCTTCATTAAATAGCTACTCATTTTGAATAGTGTGTGCCTTTTGAATGTGTAATATGGATTAAATTCAAACACACATTCTGCATGTTGTCAGCATCACATGACCTAACAGGATCTGTTGTGTCACTTCACTGCCATTATACTCTCATAATAAGTAGTATGTAGTAAGTACTAATATGTAGTTACTCATTAACCTGTTTATTGAAATTGCAATCATAAAAAACTGTTTATAGAGTTGTACATATTGAGAACATATCATAAACTTCCAAACTTACCAAAAGTTTTTTTCTGTCACACTATGTCACACTATATACTTATACATATCCACCACAAGACATGCAAATCACTTGATGTTAAGCAAGCATAACTAGTAATGATGAGAAAAATTTCCAAGTAAAAAAGTCAATTGTCACAATTTTCCACTATAAATAAGGACATGTGGATAAATAAGTACACATGCATACACAAATTGGGTTAAATGCTACTCACTTTACAGTTTGCACTGTGACCCGCAGGTGTCCATTGTGTCTTGTCCATGCAATTACCTTGTCACTGTCTTTACTAAAAATATGATCTTGAACATCTCTGTCGATCTTTGTTTTCTTAATTTCACTGAAATCAGAACAACACATTATTTACAGTATAGATTTTGCAAGAGATTTAATAATAATTATATGTTTTAAAATATTTTATTCAAAGTCATGTGGTTGTGCATAAGAAGCCCGGGAAAAATCACCTTGGTGGGTTGGCTGAATTAGGGTTGGCTGGAGGTCTTTGTGCACCTTTAGGGACAGCTGGCTGTGTGTGGGCCTGCACTTGCCGATCTTGCCATGGAGATAAATTTGTTTCAGCCAGGCTACGTTCAATAGCTAACTGCAACAGCTGTTCTTCTGACATATGTGCATAAGCACTGTAGTCCTCCAGCTCTCTGCTTGTTGTCCTTGATGCTGCCATTGTCACTCTGGCTGCTGCCATTTTGCACCTGTGACAGTAAAACAGCTCATGAATTTGAATACCATTTCTGAACAATCACATACACACAAACACAAAATTTGCTTCGAGATGAATTAAAATACCAGGTTCGAGCGGTATATTTTTTTTCTTCTTCAATTTAAAAGGTCTATAACATTTTCAATACTGTCATTAATTGCACCTACTCTACCTCCTACCTTCTGCAGGATATCAACAGTTAGGCTGAATGTGTTGCATGCGTGTCTGCTTCTTCCTCTCTACAGCAATTGCTGCTGTGTGCTTTATGAGGAGTCTGTAAGAGGTCTTGATTTCATATCACACAGTAAACAAACTGATTCCCTTATAAATATATCTGCCTTCACTGCATGTGATTCATTAGAGCATGTCTGGTTTAGATGCAACATGATCTTTTTTTTTTTTTTTTTTGCATGTGAGCCAAGAAACAGGAAATGTGGGACAGCTAGACTTATGTATGTTTGTGGAAACCATTTTTTCCTAACCCGGTTTACCAACACTTGAAAAGACAGTTGACCCAAATATCTTTTACATGTAATTCTGCTGTCATTTGCTTAACCTTTAATTTAAGTTTCTTCTGTTGAGCACAAAAGAAGATATTTTGAAAAATGTTTGAAACTTTTGACATTTATTGCTATGAATGTCAATAAGTTGTAACATTCTTCTGAACATCTTCTTTTTGTTCCACAGAATAAAGAAACTTATAATGGTTTGGAACCACTTGATGGTCTAAACGGTGAGCAAATTTTTATTTTAATTCTGAATTTCCATAAATATTATGTAAATTGCAGCAGGTACAAATCTTGCATAATTGATCAAAACTCGGTAGTTAAATATGCAGAAACAGCAATATAAATGTGTTTATTGCCAGTATAATACATTATGATGTAAAAATTTGCGTTGTCATGTGATGCCCTCTATACTGCTTTCTATATGCATTGTTTACATATTTACAGCATGTCATCTTTCTCTATACATTAATACAATTCCATGGTGTAACGTTTGAGTGACCCTGTTTTCTGAGACAGCTGTCTCTGAACGCTTGCATGTGCTGGAAACCTATCTGTGACACTATAAACATCTCAGATGGATATTCATATCGCTTGTTTTAAATGACTCAACTGTTTTTTATATGCAGCAGTGTGGCAATGAAGGTTTACAGCTTGAAAACAGTGCAATAATGCAATCCAAAATAAAGGATGTTGATAATGAATCATATTTCTGATTGACGTTTGACTGAAAACTGACGGTATAGTATTAATGTTCACAATCATACAGTATCTGCAGATATGAAATTCATTTTAACTAGACTATCGTATATTTTAATGTGATTCAGCTAAAGAATATTTAGATTAACCGTTTTCATATGGAGCCAGATCAGTCTCAAAAATAATAAATTTACAAAATTAAATTATTGTATATTCACAGCACAATTCACATTTGCAAAATCCAATTTGTAAGTTCAAAACATGATTCTTAAATACACAAATCCAGATTGTATATTCTAAACTTGATTCATAAATATGCAAATTGATTCGTTAATACACAAATCCAATTCGTAAATTCTAAACACAATTCGTAAATACACAAATCCAATCCATAAATTTAAAACACGATTCCTAAATACACAAATCCAATTAATAAATTCTAAAACACGACTCGTAAATAAACAAATCCAATTAATAAAGTCTAAAACACGATTCGTAAATACGCAATTCCAATTCATAAGTTTTAAGCACAATTCGTAAATACACACATCCATTTCGTAAATTGTAAACACGACTTGTAAATACACAAATCCAATTCATAAGTTCAAAACACGATTTATAAATGCGCAAATCCAATTCATAAGTTCAATACATATTTTAAAAATATGCAAATCCAATTAATTTGGCAAAAAATATTTATGACTCTCCATGAATTCACGAATTGTGTATATTATTATTTTTTGAGACTGATCTGGCTCCATATTTCATTCCTTTTACACACCTGAAACAATATGCCATTTGGTAATCTCATTACGTTTTATTAATTTAGTTAATTAATTATTTCTTTCAATATAGTCATCCACTTACACCAATAAGAATTATTTTTCCCATTTAGGCTGAAATAATAGTAAAAATGTGGGATTAATCACACAGACTACTACTGATCCCCAGTGCATAAAATCGGTACACTGGCACCATCCTCTGGTCGAAATATGTAACTTTTCTTTAGTGTTTATATAATGTTTATATACTATATAAATAGTATGCTCTAAACAAACAAATAAATAAATGTGCACATAATTATAAATAATTCCATGTCATAACATTACCATAATCAAGTTTCTTCATGTTTTATTGCATTCACTTAATTTTTAAATGAAAACGTTTAACCTAAATTGGCTTTGCAACGTCAAAAATATTTTAAAAGACTAAATTAGCCTGGGAGAACCATACAAGTTAAGCAATTCGGTTCAGATAAAATCATATCTAAATTGCTTTTCAAGGTTATATATCAATATCATAAACACCTTTTAGAGTAACTATACAGCAAGAGCAAAATAATATTTTGGAATGGATCGTTTCAGTTTTTTTTATTAATGTTGGATGAATAATTCGAGCAACTGGGTGTCAGTTGAAGGAGGAGAATCCCAGACATGATGTAGTGTGAAAATCATGACTGTGCATTTACTTTGATATATTCAGAGACATTCAGATATCTGAGACAGCACATGTTGAGATCGAGATGAGTATACAGTTGATCGTTGCTAGTCTGGCAGTGATATGAGAAACTTGCATGGATGGATTCTCTGAGAGCCCAGAGACTAAACCTTTCCAGCTGACCTGATGTGACCTGTTATCCAAGAGCCATATAAACAAGGATACTAAAGGTCTCTAGAGGTCTGAGTAGCATTTGGTTTTGTCACGTGTATTTGTGTTCACGTGTGCTTATAAATAGGTCTGTTTTATATAAAAAATAACAAGATTTTAACAAGACACTTTATATCTTGGGTCTTGCACCAATGTATATAATTTAGAAGAGCCCAATTAGGCCTGTTTTACAGAAATACTCAATAAACAATATTGAGTTTAATTATTTTTGTAGCAAAAACGTCTAATCATTACAAAAAATATTTTCAGTATTATTTTTGTAATATTTTATTTTATTTAACAATTATAAGATATTTAACAAAAAACAGCACAATTCCATTAAAAAGAAGAAAAAATAGGACAGAATAATTGACATTGCATTTTTTTCTGTAAAGTTTCAAGGCGTAGTAGTTCCACTTGAATGACATAAAGCAACACGTTCAACCATCTCTTATGGAGCCTTTGGAGATTTCCAATTAAGTAAGATCATCTTTTTAGCTGTAATCATGTCAGTCATCAGGGCTTGCTGTTGGGTTAATAGAAATGTCCATTATATTAGAATATTTAATAATTGACAAATTGTAGTCGGGTGGATATAATAGTCGGGTGGATATAATAGAAATGTCCATTATATTAGAATATTTAATAATTGACAAATTGTAGTCGGGTGGATATCGGGTCCATAAGCACTGGAAAACAAATTTAAAATGTTGTGCCAAAACTCATGAAGAGCAGGACAAAACCAAAATACCATTTCTGCCCCACCACATCTTTCACATTTAGGAGATAAAGAGAGAAATATTTTACGTAATCTAGTTTTAGAGAAATAAAAGCGATGTTAACACTTTAAATTGGATTAATTTATCTCTTGAATTTATCTAACCTTTCTTTATTCTTGACAGGGCTTCTCATCAGCCACTTCTTTATTCAAATCCATGGCCCAAGCTGTCTTGATGTGCTTAGTGCATGTTGGTGCCTAGATGTCTAATATTAGGGTTAGAGGATAGACAATTCTGAATAATATGACTTTCTGGTTTATTTATAAATTGTGAAACATTTTCCTTTACATAGTTTTAACCTGCAGATAGTAAAATAAATTAGACTGCGGGAGAGAAAACTTATCCTTCAGCTGTGCAAAGCATGTAAATTGATTGTCAATGTAAAGATCAATGCAAAATAGCCCTTTTCTTATCCATGCCGTAAAAGTACTGTCGATCAGGGAAGGTTTAAATGAAGGACTGTTTGAAATAAGCGTACTGTCTGAAAGCTTAGGTCATTTGTAAAATGTATTTATCTGATTTAAAATCCTTAACAAATTCCACATGCTGTGTTACTTTTTAGCTGGAATATTACAACTACAAGAAGAAGCTTACATGAGGTCTACTGTAGTTTAACTGCAGTTGCAGTCCAATTCACTCCCTTATAATTTACTGCATTTACTGCAGTGCAAATATAATTCAGTGCAACTGCAGATGATGATGATGATAATGATAATAATGATGATGTTGATGATGATAATGATGATAATAATAATGATGATGATGATGATGAAGATGCATTTAGTAAAATAAAAATTATTAAAACCAAGATAAATAAATACATTAGTAAATTCTAAGCAAATACTTTTTATATGGAAGTAATAATTATAGCAGTTATAAAATTTACAAAAATAAATAAAAAATAAATATGATCCAAATAAATAATCAAAATTAGATGAAAGCAAACAACAAATACAAGTATGATGACATTCGGTTCTATTTGGTGCACTGTAAAAACATCCCGGTTGCCTTACATTGTTAAGCTGAATCAAAATAACCTCACGGGTCTATTGAACTTAAAACTCCACTGACCCAAAACTGCTTGCATAACTTATAAAATTAAGTTAGAATATTATTAACGTAATTTAATAAGTTACAATGAACTAAAAACATATGCTGTCATAACAAATTGTTCATAGAATTTTTTTTTTACAGTGTGGTTATACATTTTAGGAAGGGGTCCCTTATCAAAATAGGACAAACACATTTAGTTATCATGTGGCAGCTTAAATTAAAAAGAGTGTGGAAATGTTAAAAACGTCTTGATCAAAGGTGTGGGAATTTACTGCATTGTTTACTTTTTTAAGCATGGTACCTTTAATGCATTATTAATGCTATTTTGCAGGACTAGTGTTTAAAAAAAGTTGTGCTCAAAATGACCACACTTGCTTTACAGTTAAAGCTCAACTCCTACAGCTCTTTAAATGTGCGTATTAGGCTAAGGTACTTTGGATATTCTTTGTCATTCTGCACTGAATGTGTTTGCCCGAATTAACTTACTGTTGTAAGCACTGGTGTTCAAGTTAGCACAATGAGCAAAACGTCACACCTAGCTGTTTATTCCAAGCCTTAGGTTTACCCGGAATTAGCCATATTTAGAAGATTATGCCGTAAGTAAACGTAATCAGTTGTCAAATCCAGTAGTTGTGCCCTGTTCCGAGTCCATTTCGATGACGAACTTCGACTCGCGTTCTGACGTGCCAACCGCTCCGAGCTGCTGTGGCATGCTGTCGCCATGGAAACCAGTTTAGTTGGTGCAGTGCGTTTGCGTGGTTCCAATATTCCTGCTTGCTAGCACATCCACGTTATAAAAGACGTAGCTTTTATCAAATGATCCGTTTGCCAGTCGAGCTACATTTACAGAGGATTACGTGAGATGGGAACTAAATAGGCAGGAATGCGCACGGCTTTCTCGAAGGGAGTTTTTTTTTTTTCGACAGGCCTTTTTTCAACTTTGTTGTCGTAATATTAGCGAGCTAACGTCAACCGAGGCAGGTGAACAGGTATGTGCGGTCGTCTTAAACTGCAAATGTACTTGACGCCAGACATTCATGTAAGCGCGGTTTTATTTTTTCCCATCAGGGATCTGTTCTTCATATGACAACAGCCATATCTGGATGATTTTGTCTTCAAGCGGGGGAAGGATTTCATGTTTGACCACCAGCACGCGCTGGCCACACAAGCACTCGAGCAGCTCCGGTGGGAAAACGAACAGCACATCCCATCTTTTTTTCTCGGAAAGTTAGCAACACTTTAATCGCAGGAATCCCTTACTATGTGCCGTCAGCGCACGCGCGTGTGCAACTGAAAGCGCGTGTGGAAACTGCACAAACAATTCTGAACACCACGCAAATAAATTAGTGATAGATCAAGCTTTGCAACCAGTGGGACGCGTTTGTCGTGGGAGGACCATCCTCTCTTCATCAAAGGCATCACATCAGTCATTATCTGTCAAGGAGCCACAATAATGACAGCACTTTGACATCCGCGTCTGGCACATT